TGCCTCATTTGTAATGGGTTTTATTGGTTTTGTCTCGTCGCTCCGGCCGGGACACGGCATCGCAGTATGGTAAGGGGCGTAACATTTCTGTCACACGCTTGAGGTATTCGGCCAATCACAATGCACTGGATAGCTGGCCAATCTGTTTTATTCATTTGTATCTTTGTTCTATTGTGTTTATTTATGTTATTACTTGTAATTTGTTTAGTTGTTCTTATTTTCTTACTAGGTGTTTTCTCTTTAGTAATGTTAGAAATTTATGCTAGTTAGGCTAGTAGTTTTTGCTGTGGTATCAAAATTGTAATTGAGAATTGTGAAATTTAACTGCTATCTAAAATGTTTTGTCACAAAACAAGTGAAATACTATAACACTACTTCAGATAGTCAAGCAGAACACATTTATGAATATAACATTTATGAATGTAAAAGTGTAAGGAAATATTGTGTCAAAATTTATTAAAATCAAAATAGCATTGATCTTGTCCATGTCGCACAGCCTTATTTAGCATTAATAGTAGTATACAAGTATCTGCAGTATGTTGTGCCAGTTGTGGATCAGTATATACATTTTGTTTGTGTTGTAATTTAGGTTTCATGTTTTTTCTCTTCTTCTTTCTAATTCTTTTTCACTTTCTCTCCATCTCTGAAGTTCTTCCTCCAGTGCTGGTGCCTCGTCACACTGAAATCCCCAGTGAGTTTCCTCCTCTGGATGACTACAGTCACTCCATCCCAGAAAACACAATTTTCCCTGCCGGCATTGAACCCCAGAGCAACTACATACCAGGTAGGTGACAAATACACAGTAGTAAGGAGAAGACTCTTGGAGTTGAGGTTCATAGATACCACAGAAAAAACAAACCAAATAATGTCAAGTGGCCTCTAAATTAATATATCGTCATCATCTGCCACAAAGAGGCACAATCTGAAGTGTTTTCCAGGTTTAATAGAGGAAGTTGAGTCTGTAGTCCCAGTGGTCTAGTGGGCAGTGGGTGGATCACTTTACTGGAAGGATGTAGGAGGAGGAAAGAGACCAAACACACAGATACAGCAACAGCCCTGTCCACTGGCCTCCATTCAGGCAGAAGCAATCACTACGTCATTGTGTTACAGTGCTGATGAAGCACCAATAAAGAAAAGTAAACGCATGGGTAAAAAATCATGTTCATTAAAAATAAATCAGAATTGTAATTATGTATAAATATAATTTTTCAAGCAGAATTATTTTAGATATTTATACCTGTATTTATTTATAACTGTAACTTAACTTTGGATGTACTTTATTTGTAGTTTTGTGCTTTTGCAAATGTTGTTATTGGATGGTTATTTTCTTTTAAAATTGCATTTAAACTGCAAAGTTTAAAACTCTTGTTTTTGTCTCAGTGGTTGATTGACAGGTCAGAAGGCAGTCATTGACTTTTGTCCAACGTCTACATTATAAATAAAGTTGTCATATGCATTTCTGACCTCTTGTATATACACCAACATTCAAAAGTTTAGGGTCAGTAAAAAAAAATGTTATTTTGAAAGAAATTACATTTTTCAGCAAGGATGCATTAAAGTGAAAGGAAGGACTTAATGTTTAATTTATAATGTTACAAAAGATGACTATTTCAAATAAATGCTGTCCTTTTGATCTTCTATGAATCAAAGAATCCTGAAAAAAACAAATCCATGTTTCCACTGAAATATTAAGCAGCACAACTGTTTTCAACAACATTGTTAGCATTGAATGATTTCTGAAGAATCATGTGACACTGAAGACCAGAATAATGGCACACACTCATTTCCTTAGACACACACAGAGTACATGTGAAACCTCAGTTGTACACACAAGGAACTCGAAAGAGAAAAGGGCGTAAACAATCACAGCGTTTACTAGTTCCCTTTCAGTCGGTCACTCCCGACGTCACGTCGGATGACCGACGAATTGGGATCTCGCTTAGAGGGACCAATCTACTTCGAGTGTAAACTAAACGAGCCAATGCACATTGGCATGCGATTATTGCATCCAGCTGCTGCTGATCACAGCGTGAGTATAAGTAGGCAGCAGATGCAGCGCATATTCAGCTTTTCGCTTCGGAGCCGAGCGGTTCTATCGTTCTGCTCCTGACCTTCCTACAGTAGTGAAAAACTACAGTCAAGCACGCTCTTCTGTGGGCTCTCGTGCTGGTGGACGGCGCTTCAGCGGCGGTGGTTTTCCCGTGTCGAGTGGGTTGCACACAACAGGCTGCACTACCCCTGTGTGTGTTGCAGACGGCCATCTCCCCTGTGCGCTTCAGCACACTAAAAGAGCAATTTCCATCTAAAAGAGCTTCACGGGTGGAACGTCTTTTTAAAGACGCGTCAGGAGTGCCCCTGGAGCAGGTCTCCAGGCATGCTGTGGTTTGCACGGATGCCTCAACCACCGGCTGGGGGGCCACGTACAATGGGCTTGCAGTGTCAGGGGTTTGGACGGGGCCCCAACTGCACTGGCACCCTCGAGTTGCTGGCAGTGCACCTTGCCCTGAGCCGTCTCAAAGGGCGCTTACGAGGCAAGCATGTACTAGTCCGC